ATTATAACAGAGACAATTATAATATGGTATATAGATTCTCTGATACAATCAAATAATTTCAAATATATATATAAGCAGAAATCCACAGATATATTCATTCTTAAAGATCCAAAACATAACTTTCTGAAGAATACATATATAAAATTTTAAAATATATAATTGAATGCATTTGGCATAATTATATTTGGAACAAGGAATCATCAAATGACATAAAGATACTGTAAGTAATGTTAATGATGGCTGCATTTGATTCAATAACATTCATGGTGCCGCATAACATCATATTACCATTGTATAGTAAACATTTTGTGCTTCACCTACAATGTCAAAGAAAAAAAAGTTCTAATGTTTTAAAACATCCCCTTGCTGTTGATGCCAAATTGTATTGTTTATATCTGCTTCAAACTGGCTTCTGTTTCTTCTCTAACAATTGTTCCTGATTTTACAATAAATACAAACCACCATGGCTTGTTCAAGTACACATTTATATGTGATGTTTATGTAACTTATCGAAATACATGATATATATATTCAGAGAGAGAGAGAGAGTATCTGCAGTATTGTAAGTGAATTCTCGATTTGGTTAGTTTGATGGGCATGCTTGATTTAATGACATCCTAGTTTGGCTGGCATTGATTATTCATATTTTGTGGTGCTTGTGGGGCAAATAGGAAATGATTGACTGAGAGCTCTGTCAGAATGTTTTTCTATGCCAATCTCTCGAAAATTGAAAATACAGGCCTTGGTGTTATGTGTGCTTCTCAAAAGAAGTATATTTAAGACCAAACATTGTATGTTTTGCTTTTTGAAGAGACTTTAAGTCTTTTAAGATTCTAAATAGAAGAGAAAATGGTCAGGAATGATTAAGTAAAAGGATATAAAATATATTGATTTCAAACATGCACATAAACAGTGCTGGCACACATCAGAATAACAAAAGCAAGGTTACAGCCAAAAATAAGCATAACAAAAAATAAATGTAGAAAACTGTCAGTTTGCATTTGTTACATGTTGTCATGCAGATAAGTGAAATTTAAAGAAATTGTTTATAGTTTTCTGCTTGACATGTGATTCATTTTGTGTCATATCAGGACCATGTTGTATGACCATCTTGATGAAAGTATTATCTACAGTATACAATCCTTGTATAAAATATTGTGTGTTAATTATATGGAATGATATTGAGGTAAAAATTACAGTATTCTGGTGCAACTTGGAACTCCATTCATTACACTGTTGCTAACAGGGCATGCAGCAACATATAGATTTATTTTGTACACCATGAGGTAACAGTTCCATCAGATATGACTGGTTATCTGATAAAAAGTGCTGACCTTACATAGATCAAAGAGATGGTTACATAAATATAAGGTAGACTGGATTATTGTTGATCAAATATTTGATGAAGTAATTTGATTATAGTAACAGGGAAGTAACAAATACTTTTTGACAAGTGATGATGAAGATTTTGATTGGGATATCTAATGCTTCAGTTAATTGTATTTGGCCCCACAAATATCTGCTTTCTTGGTTTAATACAAAATGAAAAGAAATGTTGTAAAATTAGATTGTTATAGTTAAGGCTGTTCTTTTTCCCTGTTTAATGGTCATGGCATTTTAAATATTATGTACAGTAGCATGTTTCATGCAATAAGAAGTCATTGGTTAAAGTGTCAAAATAAAAGTTCTGAAAAAAAAGGCAATAATTTATGACTTGATTGTTGTACTGGGTATCTCTAAACCATACTACTTTAAAATTGTACTTTAAGGGATGACTGAGGTCAATTGATTCCACTGTGGTCAATTATCTTATTTGAAATTCTTACATAGATTATTTGGTGAACTAAAAAGAAAGAAAAAATACAAAAAGTTAAAAAGAAATATACTCAGAATCAAATTGAAATTCAGAAGTGTTTTTGCAATTATTATACAGAGTATTTAATGATCTGAAATTTATGCACAATTGTTATTGTTTCAGATTTACATCAAATGGAATACATATCTCTAGCATTTCAATAAATAAATTCTTAGAAGAATCTTATTTTAAGTAGCTTAAATTCAAACAAACAAACAAACTTGCATGTACATGTATTTAACATAACAGCTATTAATAGAATTAAACAATAATGCTTTTCCTTTCCAAAATGGGAGTATCTAGACTTTTCGCTTCCATAGTGATAGTAAACTACTAACTTCAATATATTGCTTTTCTTGTAAGTAAGTATAATGTTTCTCTAGTGGTTAATAAAATATATAACTATAGGCTTTTGTTTCCACTGTGTATGAATATTTCTTGAATGCATTTATCTAGAAACTGTTGTTTTTAATGAACACTAGATTTACAATTATAATATTATTTCCATGGTAATTTGCTATTTACAAATTAATATCTAAACAAGAGTGTTTGATTGAAATATCAGAAGTTAATATAATTTCTGAATATATTGTTCTGCAAGGTTGCCCCTGGCAATGACTGGTTGTTTGATTCATCAGATATTATTCTCTTGATACAAAATATTATAATAATATAATAACAATTAGGCCAAACAAATATAAGTCTTTAGTTTTTCCCATAGAGTTTATGTAAATGTGTCCGTCCATCTATATATATAAATACATACACATTCAAAGGTGTCATGGAAATAAAGTTTCTGTCTCACTGTCTACATAGGTACACTACAGTGTATTCTCATGATAGAAATAAATTCATAAACTAGTTATTCATTGATTTTGTAACCATTTAAATGGTGCAATTTAAAAAAAACAACTAATACAAGAAACTTCATTTCTGTAACTTTATATTTTTTCTTTGCTGTCAACATCCCACCAATTGTGAGATTCTGGGCTCATTATTGTATATACTGGATGGATAAAATTTTCAAACAGACTAGAGCTTATATTATATTATATAAAATAAATAAGCATCAATGATTACAAGGGTGTAAGATTTAATTCAGTAGTTGAATTGTTTTAATGTTTGATAGACTAGTATTATAAAGAATATAGTTTGTATATTGTGATTTAGAAATCATAGAAGCTGGACATACATTATAGAATGTTTTCAAAGTATAAACATGTTTTGTAAATGCAACCAAAAAAACTCATTTGCTAAATTTTTTATTCTCAAAAATTAGTGTGACGGTGTTGATGAGTAAACAATATTTTTTAGTGTGAATATTATAAGTTTAGTGTGAGTGGAGTGAAAACACATAGATTTAGTTTCCTTGGCCTATGATTATAGTATATAATGACCATCCTGCCATATGATAGTGCTTCCTTAATATTTATTGACAAGAATTGTTTTACTATATAATCTGACATTACATACAGGTGCAGTGTTTTGTTTCTTAGTTATTCCTTGGAAGTTTCTAGCAAATTATATACAGATTTGTCTTATTGTTGTTGAATTTTCTTCTATCTAAAGTTTGCACTAGGAGAGCTTATTGTTTGTTTAATCATATTCAATTTTATGAATTTTACAGTTGGAAGATTCAGGTGCCAATTTGATAAAAATCAATGATTGAAATGGAATTTTGAAGTTAATGTGCAAAAAGTTGGTGCAGGAGAAGTTTCATATGTGTTTATGATTTAAATGATAAAATCTGAGTTGCTGGAAACTTTAATTTGTGCCAAAATTTGATTTCTGTTGACTGGTATCTCCTGTAAATTATGTTGAAAAGATTATTATACTTTGATTTTCTGTGATTTTTTTTACAAGTGTTTTTTTATTTTTTGTACTATCTGGATTGCTGTTTATCATTCCTCAACAGGTTTTTATTTGAGAGTGCTATAATTAGAATGGGTGATATTGAAAAAGGTAGGTCTGACCTGGTAGTGTTAAATTGATATAATTACTTTGTTATTTAAAAAATAGAGAAAATAAGAATAATTTGGCAAGTTGGGTTCAGGTTACTAATTTTTAAATTGATACCATTGTTTGTGGTCAGCTGATTCACATACTAGCTTTTGATATGAGGCAGTGATATTGCCCATACATAAAATAGCACAACATGTCTACTGGGGCTTATTTAAATGATTAATTGATTCATATAAAATAACTTATAAAATATACATATGTATGATAGGCCTTTAATGATGATGAATTCAGATCTATGTAACTTGATAAAACTTAGGTTAATATATTATTTCTGATCTTGAATTTACCTGAAATGAGAATTTAATGTTTTTTGCTGGTAAAAAAACAAATTAAATCTACTACATGTTATTAGATTTTAATGACATATTATATGACCAATTACATTAATTAGCTTACATGACACAAGCAGCTAGGTGAGCATTTATATATACTAGTAGCTAACATGTATCTGTTTTTGGTCACCTTGTCCAGTGCTATATACTTGAATCAGTTTATGAACTTGGCATGAAGATAAATGTGGGCAAATTAATTCATAAACTGTTCATGAACAACACATGCTGGTATTGATGTTTATGAACTAGGTATGAGCAATTGCTTCTTAAGTCATGGCAGATGTTAAGCAAAGAAGGTTCAGAAACCCTTTTTTAAAACTGTTGATGTATTCATTTATTGAACTTTAGATAAACATTTCATGAACTACAATGTACTGGTATTAATATTTCACGACTGAATTAATTCATTCATCACAATACATCAGTTTAAAAAACCTTTATAAAATTGTTATACATGTAATTACCAAATTACAGTAGAAATTGCCCTTTTTCTGAGAAAAATGAGGATTAATTCATAACAAACAGTAGCTATACATCATATTTCATAATCACCCAACAGAAATAGAAGATAGTCATTAACATGCAAAAAAACGTTTCATTTTGTTGAGAGTCCCAGGTTTTTATTTTTCTTTAAGATAATGTTATCATTCATCATTTAGTAGTTACAGTATTGATCTGTCCACTAGCTGGTAGGGACAGAGCAGACTCACAATATTAACTTATAATATTGTATTGAGTAAAGAACAGTCAGAACACATGTTAACATTATGATTGATATATTATATTTTCAGGAGGTCAGGATCAAGACTCAAACAATGGTGGTCTTGGTTGCTGTGGGTACATTCTGTGGTTCTTGTCAATGCTGGTTGTCTTATTAACCTTGCCAGTTTCTTTGTGCCTTTGTATCAAGGTAAGTACATTGTACATGTATTAAATTGAAAGTTTTCACCTTAAAATCTTTTGTTCTTTTTTACCTTTTCTTTAAATTTCCGCTGGCCATTCTATATAAAAGGTAAAAGTTTCTGTATGTCATCACAAGAAACGTCATAAAAATCTGGTGTACTCTAATGGAACATATGTCTGTGAGATGTTGAATTGTTCTAGCTTGAGTCTTTTTTTTTCCCTCTACATATCTAAAATTGGCAAAAACTATGTAATTAAAGTTGTCACGAAATACTCCGACAATATGTTAGGCTTACTCAAAATGCTTCCTTTTTCACTGCAGACATTTTTATGCACTTAAATATTTCAATGCTATTAGCTGCATAGCCAGAAGATTTGTGTTTTAGAAAATTTTGTAAATAATGTTGTTAAATGTACAAATTTAGTGATTTAACCTAGATTTAGAAACTCCTCAAAAATACCATTTGTAGAAGCCTAAATTAGCCTTATTACAGATAACAAGATAGAATGTAGTAATCAAACCGCAAATTCTGCTAATTTTATTATTGTATCATGCAAATTCACACTTTGATTCTGAACATTTATACATCAAATTCTTAACCCTTTACCTCATATATATGCGAAACAACGCACTTTCGACCCCCCCCCCCTTTTTTTTTAGGCCTCAAATAGTGAAAAAATGTCCTATTTGGGCCCCAAACACATGTTTTCGTTTGAGAAATGTTGCTAAAAAAATTGAGCACTTCTTCGGCGCCACCCCCCATCCAAAAGATACATCAGGGGGTTGCCAGAAGGGAGATGTGCCCCCTTCTGTTAGGGGGGTTTGAAGGGGGGCAGAGTCCCCCTCATCGCCAAGAAAATTTTGGACTTGTGAGAGGCTAAAAATGACCCCAGGTCGATCATAATGTAACGTGTAACCAAGGCTGAAAAGCCTTTGACTCTATCTCAATCCCTTGAGAAGTTGCAGCACTTTGAAATAAATTTTGATGGAAAAAATCGAGGTAAATAGGGATTTTTGGCAATTTTGAGATGTCCCCTAGTTGCCATGGTAACAGGAAATTTAAGACTGAACATGTCGTTACAAAGGCAATGGTCCAGTCAACATTTGTGCCAAGTTTGATTAGTATTGAAGCATTTTTCATAGTTTCATAGCAGTTTGAACTTGTAACAGGAGGCTTTTCAGTGAAAACGGCCATTTTTCACAAAATGCTCATGGGGAAAGGGTTAAACAATTGTTATATAGTTTCTGAATTGTCTTTCCTTCTGCTGAAAATAAATAGTGTGCCATCTAACTGTAAACAGAACAAAAGAGAACGATCAAGTTCATTCCTTAACAATAGTATAAGGGGACATCATGGTCATCTAATTAACAAAGAAACTAACCCTTAACCCATTTTGTTTGTCAGTCTGTATGTCTATGTTCTGTCCATACTTATGGACGGTTTAATTTTTTTTTTTGTAAATGCATAGCTTCCTGAATGAGTGTTTACGTGTCCCATTCAAGATCCAGGTTTGTGTACAGGTTAGGTCAAGGTCACTCTTTGACTTTACAGGAATTTTCCATAAAAGTTACATGATCATCATGGTTGAGTCTGGTCAACAATTCTGCCTTTTTGGATGTATTTGAAATTAAGTGATTTAAAATTGATGCATAAAATTGTGTTGGATATGATGATGTGTCACATACAAAAGTCAGGTATCTAACTCAAAGGTCAAGTTCACACTTAAAATTGTACTTCGAGGCCGAAGTCATAATATTGAATTTTTCATAAAAGTATCTTCAGAGGTCCAAGATATCAAATTAATGACTTGGGTCCCTCTTAAAGTCAAAGCTGTGAGGTGCAATTGATTGTAAGCAACCACACTACCTCCGAATTATAGTTGGTAATGATAATGCAGAAAGACCAGTTTCATATTGTCTATAATGTCCCCCCATCCAAGCCCTGGTGATGGATGGGGGTCATTATTGGAGTAAAAGCCGGAGGCCGAGCATGTATACGTAGCATTGACGAATGCTATCTCTTACAAGTCGCATTTTAAAGAAAACGAAAGTGAAAGTACAATCGGTAGTACCCGTCACGTGACCGATACCCATAACCGGAACCGGTCAACCAGTAAACATCATTTTTTAAAGATAACTTGTTGACAAATCCATAATAAGGGTAGGGCTGTAAAAAACCCAAAAACCAAAGGGAGGGTGTATACATGCTCGGCCTCCGGCTTTTACTCCAATAATGACCCCCATCCATCACCAGGGCTTGGATGGGGGGACATTATTTTCGCAAAAGCCTCTGGCTTTCGCATGTATACGTACATGTAGCATCTTTAAAGTTTATCAACAAGTATACAAAATTGTCAACCAAGAACAAAAACACAAACTAGTAACATTATACTCACATTTACTACCCTGAAAAAACCAAATATACAAATTAAATATACATCAATTCATTTCTGTAACAAAAAATATGATTTGTCATATCAAATTGACCTTTGTCAAAAAGTATCAATTATGAGAAAACAGCCTGAGCAAAAGATAACTCAAAACGGGTCTGTAAAATTATAGAAATTTTTGTCAGATTTCCAATCAGCTGCATCCAGTAAAGTTTTCAATTTACATTTATGAAATGCTGCTGAAGAACTGGCAGACCTATAAGAATGAGCCTTAAATATACCAGTGTCAATACCCGCTAATTCTAGTACAGTTTTTAACCATCTTGCAATGGTACTTGTGGAAACATTTTGAAAAGTTACATAAGAAATAAAAAGTTGTTTAGATCTCCGTAACTAAATCCTAGTTACGTTAATGTAAAATAATAAAGTATGAAAAACACAAAGAGATTCCTCCTCAAAATGTTCTAATTTCACACAAAAAGAATTAGATCTACTAGTAGATCTACTAGTTTTTAATAACCCCGGAAAATAAAAAGTCACATGATTCGCAGCACATCTCATAAAATCCAAATTCATAGAGACTAAAGTCTGAGCCCTAGGAGCACAACTGAGGGCTATCAAAGCCACTAATTTTAATGTTAACATCTTTAAGGATAACGTTCTTAAAGGATATAATGTTCTGAGAAAATTAAGCACTACAGTCACGTCCCAGGTAAATTTATAACGCAACTTAGGGGGATTTGAATGAAAAATCCCTTTCATAAATTTAGGAATAAGCACAGTATTACCACACCAAACATTTCCAAAAAATGGAAGTGTTTGCAATAACATAGCTTTATGGGTGTTCAATAATGAATAAGACTTCTTTCGCAAATGTAAATGATACAGAAAATTGACCACTATCTCTTCAGTGGTACAAAAGGGATTTTTACATCTTTCACAAGACCAAATATACCAGTTTTTCCATGCCAAATTGTATTGTTTGTGTGTTCCTGGTCTCCAGGCTGAGGTAATGATATTAGCAGCTCCTGATGAAATGCCTCTATAATTGAGTGCCTCCCTGATAACACTACAGCGATCAGGTTCAAAGATTTGCCGAGCGGATGTACTCTTCCATTGTGTGGGAGAACCGTTACAGGTCTTTGTGTCTCGGCAGCCTGACAGGGAGAGAAACAACATATGGTAACATTAATGGAAACCAAGGTTGTGATTTCCAATATGGTAAAACTACCAGAGCTTTCTCTGCAAAAGGTGAAAAAATATATGGTTTGTAAGAATTCCAAGAGACAGAAAAAGCATCATTAAAAATAGCTCCTGGTTCAGGGTACCAAAAAACAAAACAATCTAACTGTTTATTTATCCTGGATGCAAATAAATCTATATCAGGTGTAAAGAAATGTCTACATAATATTTTAAAAATTTCAGGTTTCAACATCCATTCAGTGGAGTCTGAAAACTGTCTAGGATAAAAATCAGCAATAGTATTATCTATCCCTGCAATATGTACTGCTGAAATGAAAATGTTCTTTGACAAAGTTTAACACCAGTGCCAAATATCTGATGCCAATTTATCTAAGTCTAAAGAGGCCATACCTCCCATGTCTAGAATATATGTTACCGCAGTGACAGAATCACCCTGAAATTGTATATGGATGTTTGTGCACTTTGAATACAAAGTTTGTAGAGAAAAGAAAATTGCCAGTAATTCTAAATAATTAATATGATATTGCAATTCTAATGATGACCATCTAGCCTGAGTAACCTTTCCAGACAAGAGGTCAACACAACCAAAACCTGTAAGCGAGGCATCTGTCCTACAATAAAAATCAACCGTATTTGGTCTAATTTGTTTACCATTTTTAGCTTTTAAATTGTTCAACCACCAATTTAAGTCTTCTTTACTTTTCTCAGACAATGTAATACTTTTTTGAAAATCTAAACTTTGATCTAAACCTAAAATTTTATCCCTTTCTAAGTTACGATAATGCATTGGTGCTTCTAAAACAGCATAAAAAGCATTAATTATTGATCCAATAAAAGATGCAAGATCTGTATCACTACATAAGGTTTTTGTAATAAGGCTCTGGCTTTTGACAAAATTTTCTCAATTTTTTCTTCAGTTAAAAAGACCATAAATAAGACTGAATCAACAATGAATCCAAAAAAGACAATTCTTTGACATGGAATACATACAGACTTTTTCTTATTAAGGTATTAGGACCCTAATGGGCACTATCAGGAACTAAAGAATTGACATCATAGGTCAGACGTATACCTTAAAGTACACTTGTATGCAAAATTTAAACAAAGTTTACCGTACGGAAATCAAGTTATGGCCACTTTTCTGAACTCAAGCTAGGATGTTATGAGGGCCCTTTTTTAGAAATGAGGACCTTTAAATAATCTGCAATAACATTCTAATGAAAAATGTTTTCCCATGAATTTTTGGTAAGAAACAAATAGTACCATTCAGCTCACAATCCACATAAGCAAAATTATGGTTTTGACTTAAAATTTATGAAATCTGTATAAAAATGTTACCCTACCCCACCCATTTTTACCACATGTCTGACAATGTTTCTACTTTAAGGGAGCCTAATTCAAAAAATTCTTAAA